AATTTTTGTCCTCAAGTGATCCTCCTGCTTCAGCCTCCCAAGTAGCTAGGGTTACAGGTATGACCCACTGTACCCTGCTAGAGTTTCTCTTCTGTGTGTTTGTGCTAGAATTCAGCTATGAGTGAGGCCAAGGGATTCCTTATGTAAATTTTTTTTGTTTGTTTGTTTTTTGTAGTAGCGGCTCTCTCTTTTTCAGAACTTTACCCCACAACTTCCAGTTGCCTCAGGTTCCCTGAACTCTAATATGTGTCCCCTGAACTCTGATATGTGTCTCCATAACTCAGTGAGACTTCTGTACTTTGTTTGGGCTCTCCTTCCTGTTCTACAGTCCAGAATTTGCCTCTAGGAAGAAAGCTAGGGAGACTGTGTGGCTTACTTCCTTTCTCGTAGGGAATGTAGTCCTAGTTGCCTTTGTTAATATCTGAAAATAATTGTTTCATGTAAGGTCACGCACAGCATAATGATGTTTTGGTCAACGACAGGCCACATATGTAATGGTGGTCCCATAAGATTATAATACTGTGTTTTTACTGTACCTTTTCTATACTTCTATACTGTACCTTTTCTATGTTTGCATATGTTTAGATATACAAATACATTGTGTATCAGTTGTCTGATTGTGTTACAGTTGTCTGCAGTATTCAGTACAATAACATACTGTCCAGATTTGTAGCCTAAGAGCAACTACACCTTACAACCTAGGCGTGTGGTAGGCTCTACCATCTAGGTTTGTGTAAGAACACCCTGTGGGCTGGGCATGGTGGCTCACGCCTGTAATCCCAGTACTTTGGTAGGCCGAGGTGGGCGGATCATGAGGTCAGGAGATCAAGACCATCCTGGCTAACAAGGTGAAACCCATCTCTGCTAAAATTACAAAAAATTAGCCGGGCGTGGTGGCAGGCGCCTGTAGTCCCAACTACTCGGGAGGCTGAGGCAGGAGAATGGCGTGAACCTGGGAGGCGGAGCTTGCAGTGAGCCGAGATTGCGCCACTGCACTCCCGCCTGGGAAACAGAGCGAGACTCCATCTCAAATAAAATAAAAATAAAAATAAATAAAATAAAATAAAATAAAATAAGAGCACCTATGATATTTGCACAATAAGGAAATCACCTAATAACACATTTCTTAGAACATATCCCAGTCATTAAGTGGCACGTGACTGTATTTCATCCGGTTTTCTTGTTTATAACAGTTGGGTAAATCCCGTTTACTCCACTGCTGTTATTCATCCTGACTGAAAGTAGAAGTCCTGTTTCTTTAATTAAATTTTATTTATTTATTTATTTATTTATTTATTTATTTTTGAGATAGAGTTTTGCTCTTGTTGCCCAGGCTGGAGTACAGTGGCACAATCTCAGCTCACTGGAACCTCCGCCTCCTGGGTTCAAGAGATTTTCCTGCCTCAGCCTCCCGAGTAGCTGGGAGTACAGGCATGTGCCACCACGCCCAGCTAATTTTTGTAGCTTTAGTAGAGACGAGTTTCTCCATGTTGGTCAGGCTGGTCTCGCACTCCTGACCTCAGGTGATCCACCTGCTTTGGCCTACCAAAGTGCTGGGATTACAGGTGTGAGCCATTGCACCCAACCTAAAAAAATTTTTTTTAATAACTTTTTCATTTTAGAACAATTTTATATTTATAGAAAAGTTATAAACATAGTACAGAGCATTCTGGTATACCCCTTACCCAGTTTGTCCTGTTGTTAACATCTTAGAATTCCATGGTACAGGCCGGGCGCGGTGGCTCACGCCTGTAATCCTAGCACTTTGGGAGGCCGAGGTGGGCGGATCATGAGGTCAGGAGCTTGAGACCAGCCTGACCAACATGCTGAAACCCCATCTCTACTAAAAATACATAAAACATTAGCCAAGTGTGGTGGCAAGCACCTGTAATCCCAGCTACTCAGGAGGCTGAGGCAGGAGAATCACTTGAACCGGGGAGGCGGAGGTTGCAGTGAGCAGAGATCGAGCCATGGCACTCTTAACTGGGGTGACAGAGGGAGACTCCATCTCAAAAAAAAAAAAAAAAAAAAAAGAATTCCATGGTTCATTTGTCAAAACAAAGAAGCTGACTTTGGAATATTCCTATTAAGTAAACATCTATATTTAACGTTGTTTAAAAAAACTGCCAAGCCATTTTCCAAAGTGTGTATACCCCAAAGTGGCATTCCCACCAACAATGAATGAGAGTTCCTGCATTATTTGAGTAGAAGAGGAACATAATAAGAACATTGAAACATCAACATTTCAACTACTCTGAAATTACCAAAATTAAGTAAAAGGTAGTGACTTAAATTTGAAAATCCTAAGCCTATGATTACAAATGACTCATAATAACTATAATAACAACAATAACAAGAGCATTCATTTAAATCCTACTGGGAGTCAAGCGCTATTCTAAGAGTTTTACATTTATTAATTCATTTAGTCCCTGCAACATTATAGATTAGGAGAGAGAGCAGTTCAGTAATGTCTCCATAGTCACATGGCTATTAAGGTGCAGGCAGTGTGGCTTCAGAGCCCGCTGTCTGATCCACTTTACCAGTAATGGTTCTTAATTGGTTGTACATCAGGATTATTGGAGTTGAGATGGTGTTTCACTTGTTACAGGATGGTTTCGGACACCAGTAAGACCCCTGGTGATTCCAATGTGCAGTTAGGATTGGCAACACTCTGTATTATTTTTTTAAAGATACATTTATTCAGTGTCATGATCATACTACTACATTTAGCAATCAACAGCATGGGTGCAAAAAAAATCTACATTAAAACCCTTTGTTGGAATGCTTTACACTTTCCACAGAACAGAAACTAAAATAGCCTGTTATACAATTATTCACAAATACAGTCCTCAAGTTTTTTGCCCATATACATGAGTATTTGTCTAAAACATGTCTTCTTTATAGTATCTAGGCCCTGCCACCACTGTGCTTGGCTGAGTTCACAAAACTGTTGTAACCTGTAGCTTCCCTGTCACTTCTCTGGCTCTCCTCTCACGCTAAGCTTTGTTTCCTGACAGTAATTAAAATCTTCTGACACTGCCATAGCTACTGCTGCTACTGGAACTGGCATAGCCACTTTGGTTTCATGGTTTGGTCAAGTATTGGCCTCTACCACCATAGGAGCCAGAGCTTCTGCCACCATTGTCCTCCCTTCGTGGGTTCAAAATGTGAAGACTGACTGTTGTAATTGTCAAAATCATTCTTTCACCACTTCCAGAATTGCTTCCATCATTATCAAATCCATTGTAGCCATCCTCACTGCCACCATATCCACCATCACCATGGCTGCCACCAACCCCACCATGACTGCTGAAGTTTCTTCCACGACCAAAGTTGTCATTCCCATCAAAACCACTTCCACGACCACCATCAAAATTTCCAGAACAGCCTGCTCCACAGTGGCATAGTGACAAACCCAAAGCCCCGGTGCGCTTGGTGTTGGGATCTCTCATGACCACACAGTCCATGAGCATTCCCCATTGCTCAGAATGGCTCCTCAGGCTCTCATTGGTTGTTTCAAAACTCACGCCTCCAATGAAGAGCTCCAATGAAGCACTTCCATAGCTGTTCAGGCTCTTTAGGAGACTGACTTAGACATGATGGCAGCGGGAGGAGAGACTTTAACGATGCTTCTTCAGCAGCATCCACAGGCAGCCACTGTGTACTGTTTCATACAGCATCTTCATTATATGTAGATAATATTTTAAAGTCTGTTTGAAAAATTCTAATCATAATAATGGGTACTTTAGTTCATATTTTGATTTGGACATTTTAATGTCTTTTTTATAGGTAGAGCTTGAATTGAGGCAAGTATTTTGTTTAAAAAATTTTTTTTAATCCGTTCTCTATTTTGATTTGGGTATTCCTTCCTAAAATTAATGTTTAAAGAGTATTGATTTTAAAATGTGTAATCATTTCATATACAGAAAGCAAGGACTGAAGTATATCATAGAGTAAATGGTGGGCTTATTTAAACTGTGTTATACCCAGCAGGTTAATTAACCTTCTACAAAATTGACTTAATTCAATATAAAATAATCTTCATAAAAGTGTTAATTTTCTGTCTTATTTTGTGTTTATTGACATTTTAATATTCAATATTAGACTTTAAGAATGCAGAAGAAAACTTTTAAATTCTATTTAAAAGTACTTTATAAGATTTATTTTTAAAGTACAATAAATAAAACCATAGGTTTGAAAGTAAAGTTTACTAAAATCTAGTTCTGTTGTCTCTAAATCAATGATATAAATTTATTTTCTTAAATTATTGCTGTATGATCTCCAGCATTCACTTGTTTTGCTCTGAATAGTCGGTTACTGATTGCAGGAAGTCTCCACCAGAGTGTGCTCAAGACACTGTAGTGGGAAAAGTGTTACTTAGGCTTGCCTAGACTTTCTAGCCTCTGTGAAAAAGAAAATTTTTTAAGAGAAGCATTTGATTTCTTGTTACAAAATTTCTTTTGCCATGAAATAAATTCTGTACGTTGACAGTTGAGTAGTTCTACAGACACTGTAAATGAAGAGTATTTAATCTCTCCGTTGTTGGTTCTCAGTATGCGTGCTAGCTAGAAGTATCTTTATTTTGTGAAGTTATTTTTTAGAAATGAAAAGTTCATCTTCCTTTACACAATAGGTGTTGATTTTTTTCTCACAATAAGTATATTTTTTAAAGCCTGAATAAAATGAACTGGAAAAACTAGTAATTTGTGTTATGAAGTTAAAAAAAAAACCTTATAGTTTATCTATTATGTGTGCTTTTATTTTAAAATAACAACTAAATCAGTAAATAGATTTAATATTTGCAATTCTAGTACAAAATATTATTCTCAAAGTATTATTAGCTGTGATAACCATTATTGTATGTTGATGCATTAGAGTAGGGTGTGAAAGTTGTGGCCTATTTATATTTGATAAATTTCTAAGTGAGCATTTTATAAACTGATTATCTGACAAAAGTACTTAATGACAATAGCTATTTTTTTTTTCTTTTTCCTTCCTAGATACCTGCACTCAAATAACATAGTTGTGGTTCCGGAAGGTATGTTTACTTAAAATTTTTAGTTAGAAGATAATATAATTTAAGCTTTGCTTTACAAATAGAACAAATTTTAATTTTAAGACACCTTTAATTTTTTAGCTTCAAAACTTTTTTTCTTCTAGAAAGTCCAGTTAAGAACTATAATTAAATAAATAAGTCTAAAATGGTTATAATGGTTAGGTAAACTATTATTAGATAAATTCCTATTAGGTAGATAATAAGTTCTAAATTTAATAAATCTAGTTAAGAATTCTGGTCAGATAAAAAAGGCCCTGTGTATCATGTCTTGAATTATTTTAGTTTTAATGTTTTTATTTGTGCTGTATTTTAAGTTATATTTTATCTTGAGCTGGAAGTGTTTATCACTTTCATCAACTTAGTTTGATCCGTGTTTTTACTGTTTTGTGAGCAACTGAGACAAGGATATTAAGTAGTAAAATATTTTAACTTGGAATACTTGCATTAAAGATTTGATGTAATACTTGAATCAAATTCATTTTGGTTCTCCTTTTCTCTTTGAAGCCATTGGGTCTCTTGTAAAACTCCAATGTCTGGATCTTAGTGACAATGCCTTAGAAATTGTTTGCCCAGAAATTGGTCGTCTGAGAGCTTTACGTCATCTTCGATTAGCTAATAACCAACTGCAATTCCTACCTCCAGGTAATCATAGTCTATAGCACACAATAGTTTCTGTCTATTATAAATCTATATTTCTTCATATTTCTCACTGTATGTCTAGGCAATGGGCTGTAGATGTATTTGTAAGTATTTGTCCATTTGTTTGAAGATGAAACTTTAAGGAAAGTGGGCAAAATATTACTAAGAGTCTTTTTTGTGATGCAAATGTAAGAAGGTAGCATTTATATTTTAGATATAGCTACAATTACTACAATTGTGCATTGCAACCAATATCTCTTTGAATTACTGCTCTGGCAAAATATTTGTACAAAGAGCTACTTCAATTCTGAATTTCACATAAGAGAATTTAGGTGAGCTTTGCATGATATAATCATTTTACTATCCAAAAGTCAAATACATGCAGTGTTTTCTCTTATTCTCCAGTGAGGTAACTAATGTACATTAACTTTTTTTTTTTTTTTGAGACGGGGTCTCGCTCTGTCATCAGGCTGGAGTACAGTGGCACAATCTCAGCTCACTGCAATCTCTGCCTCCCAGGTTCAAGCGATTCTCCTGCCTCAGCCTCCTGAGTAGCTGGGACTATAGGCGCGTGGCCCCATGCCCCGCTAATTTTTGAATTTTTAGTAGAGACAGGGTTTCACCATGTTGGCCAGGCTGGTCTCAAACTCCTGACCTCAAGTGATCCACCTGCCTCGGCCTCCCAAACTGCTGGGATTACAGGTGTGAGCCACCGTGCCTGACCTAATGTATGTTAACTTTGATTTTAAAAGGAGTCATGCTAAAATTTAGTAGAACAATTTATATTTGAGACTTAGGATTGTCTGTTCTGCCTGCTGAACATGTAAGTAAATTATGAATGTACCTTATAGATAGGCAGTATTAAAATCTTGCATTTTATTGACAGCCACCATTAAACCCTTTGATTTCTTGGGAGGAGCATCCAGAGACCTTGCTTTGTGAATCCGCATATTTGCAAATCCCACTCTCATATATGATTTCATGTATTAAAAAACATGATAATTAAAAAACTTACGCTTCAGGTATTATATGAAAGTTACTGTGTATTCAAGAATGAGCAGAGAAAGATACAGATGTTAATTTGTCTGAGATTATTTTTACTCTTTGGAGTAAAACCAACTCGAGAATACCAACCAGCCTTTTAGTGTATCTAGGTGAAATATGTGACTCAAACAAAATTACAAATTACTACCTGTCATAGAACTTCAGGGTAACATGAGATGTTAAAAATTATGCATGTTAAACCCACGAATGAAAAAGTCTATGATATTTCTTTGTTTTTTCAAGTACAGAAATATCTAAATTAAAACATATTAACAGATTAATTTTTAGACTTTATGTTCCGACCTTAATATATAGATTCAATACTGTATATAAAAATGGCACCAGTCAGGCTGGGCACAGTGGATCACACCTGTAATCCCAGCACTTTGGGAGGCCAAAGTGGGTGGATCACCTGAGGTCAGGAGTTCGAGACCAACCTGGCTAACATGGTGAAACCCCATCTCTACTAAAAATACAAAAATTAGCCGGGTGTGGTGGTGTTGTGCCTGTAGTTTCAGCTACTTGGGAGGCTGAGGCAGGAGAATTGCTTGAACCTGGCAGGCGGAGGTTGCAGTGAACCGAGATCACACCACTGTACTCCAGCTTGAGTGACGGAGTGAGACCCCACCTCAAAAAAAAAAAAAAATGGCACCAGTCAGTGGTGACTGTGTTTTAAAAAATATTTTTTTACCCTCATATAATGAATGTCTTATTTTTTCTAACTATAGTTAATATAAAAATTTTTGACACAATACAGGAATATGGTCTTTCCTTTATTATATATCATCAGGCCAATGGTGTTTCATCATTCTAGTTTTCATCAAGTTTGTACATTCAGATACCCAGAAAATGAGATACTCTTTTGAGGATTGCCTTGAAAATGTATCAGTAAAGATAATACTTTACATTTTCCTAACATTTTCATATGTGAAACTTATATAAGATATACAACCAAAATGCATAAATATAATGCTGTATTTATGAACTCTTTTTTTTTACATACATTTAAAGAATATACAAAAAATACAATTCTGCCAGACATGGTGGTTCACATCTGTAATCCTACCACTTTGGGAAGCTGAGGCAAGAGGATCGCTTGAAGCCAGGAGTTTTAGACCAGCCAGGGCAACATAGTGAGGCTTTGTCTCTACTAAAATCCAACAATAATAATAATAATAAAAAAATTAGCCGTGCATGGTGACACACACCTTAGTCCTAGCTACTTGGGAGGCTGAGGTGGGAGAATCTCTTGAGCCCAGGATATCAAGGCCACAGTGAACTCTGATTGCAGTATTGCACTCCAGCCTGGACAACGGAGTGAGACTCTGTCCCTAACCCCCCACGAAAAACAATTCTGTGATAAACCATTGTTCTGGGTATTGTATTATTCTGTCTTTTCCTGTAATATAAAAACATGGTGTGGTAGAATATGGTCATTTCCTTCCATTATATATCTTAGAGGTTAAGGATGTACTTCTAATATCATTGACTGCTTCTTAATAACCAGTGAAGGCTATATGTTTTGTGACTACTTTCATATAATTTATTTATATCTCTCCTGTTACACAAGAAATTTGAGGCATATACTTGTGATTTTATTTTCCTGGGTTTGTTTCTATTTGTGTTTGCTTTTGCTTGTTTTGAGTAAAATTATATACATTAACAGTTATACATTTTGGATAGGAACTTTTGATTGAGCTATGTATACAGACTTTATTCTTTCTTGCCACCATGAGTAGCAATGGACTAAGTTTTACCAATTATTTGATTCACTTTATACATCTCATGAGGTGATTTCAGATGTTATGATTTAAGTATGTAAGGGGCTAAGCATACATCCCCTAAATGCTTTATTGTGTTTGGAGACATACTATGGGAGGGTATTCTAAATGTGGGAAAGAAATGTGAGGGACTGTGATCTTGTCCCTATTTGACCACAGTAGGCACCAGTTGATATCTGCTTAATAAGCCCCTTCTCCGTAGTCCATAGTCCATGCCAAGACTTGTCACATGTTACATTCTCTTAAAAGACTTAACATTTTACCATGTTTCTTTGTTGTCATTGAAAAGCCTTTGAATATAATTTTATAATTTTATATCCAATATTTAAAATTTGCCAATTAGTTCTCAAAGTGGTTATGCCATTTTACACTGTTCTCTCAGCAATGTATGAGAGGTGCAGTTACTCCACATTCTTGCCAACATTTGGTGTTGTCTATTTGTTTAGCCATCATAATGGGTGTGAAGTAGTATTGCATTTTTAAAAAATTCTATTTAATTTGCATATCTCTCTTGACTAATGTTATTTAGCACTTTCTCATGTATTTATGGGCTATTCCAAATCTTTTTGAATTATAGGAGATATCTCCCTGCTTTAAAGACCAGCTGCCAGCAGGTTCAGTTGCTGAGGAATTCTCTTTGCTCTCCAGTTTGGCTTCTGGCTTTCTGTGACTTGAGAGCTCTTTGAATCCTGCTGCTCCATCCTTGGCCTGTAAAGGTTGACTGTCATCGCCCTGTACTCTGTGACGGTGGGTCTTGCCTCTGAGAAGTTTCTCTTGGCTTTTCTGTTACCACCTATCCTCCAGGTTTTCCCTTGCTGGAAGCCTAGAGTACATTGAGGAGATTATTTCAGTTCTTGCTCTCTTTCCTTGCCCTCATTTTTGGTAAAGGTTGGTGGGACAGAGTGGTTTGTGTGTCTGTGTTGAGCAGGGGGATTTATTAATAGTACAGTCTTTCTATACCTATGGATCCTCTGGGTTCTACACGGGTATGTCCACATAGAGCTTTCAAAGTTAGACTGTTTTCTCTTTAACCATTGTCTGTGGCAGATTTCTTTCCCCACCTCTATTTCAGTCAGGGATGATAGCAGCCAGGGATCTCTTCTCTTCGAAAATGTGCTTCTCACTCTTTGGAGCTGATTTAGATTTCCCCATGTCCTCAGTCTCTGATGGGTTTTCATTCAGTTTGTTTTAGTTGTTAGGGTGAGAGTGATGATCTCTTTGGAGTTTCTATTTTCAAGTTGGAATTAAGTCCTCCTTCTTCCTAACTGACTTCCACAATTTGTTTTTGGTTCCTCTTTGCTTCCTTTCTATTTTTGGATTACTTGAGTATGTTTTAGTGTTCCATTTTATTTCCTCCATTGACTTTTCTCTGGGCTTCACAATATGCTCCCTTAACTTATTACATTTAGAATATTGTACCATTTCATATAAATTATATGCATTTATATATTATTGTGCATATTTTACAACAGTATACTTCCTTTTACCTTCCTTCTTTTGTACTATGTCATATATTTTATTTCAATATATGTTATAAACTCCTTAAGATAATATTATTTTTGCAAGTCAGTTGTCTTTAAAATACTAACGCTGGGCACAGTGGCTCACGCTTGTAATCCCAGCACTTTGGGAGGCCAAGGTGGGTGGATCACCTGAGGTTGGGAGTTTGAGACCATCCTGACTAACATGGAGAAATCCCGTTTCTACTAAAAATACAAAATTAACCAGGCATGGTGGCACATGCCTGTAATCCCAGCTACTCAGGAGGCGGAGGCGGGAGAATCGCTTGAACACAGGAGGCGGAGGTTGTGGTGAGCCGAGATCATGCCAGTGCATTCCAACCTGGGCAACAAGAATGAAACTCTGTCTCAAAAAAAAAACTACCTAAAAAAATTTACCTGAATATTCACCATTTCCTGTGCTTTCTATTCTTTTTTTCTTAAGAGACACAGTCTTGCTGTGTTGCCCAAGCTGATCTCAATATCCTGGCCTTCTAAAGCACTGAGATTACAGGTGTGAGCCACTGCACCTGGCCATTTTTTCCTCTAGATTTAGTTTCCATCTGTCATTTCTCTTCAACCCGAAGTACTTCCTTTAGTATTTGTTTTAGTGCAGTTCTACTGGCAGTGAACTATCTCAGTTTTTCTTTATGCAAAACTGTTATTTCATTTTCACTTT